TCCCGTGTGAGGCTTGCCTGCGTGCCGATGAGCGCCAGGAGCTGTGGGTTTGACTGCGCCAGCACGAGCATCGTGGAGAGCTGCCTGTGCAGAGCGTGGTGCAGAGAGCTCCAGGGGCCTGCCCTGCAACCACCCCCACCCCAGCCTGACGGATGGGCAGACGCAGGACGACTACCTGCTGCCCAGCCGGCTTTTGGGGCAGCCCCCCCACCTGACGGGGCACAGGGTCTGCAGGCTGCCCAGGGCGGGCCGCTTCTCCCTGCTGTTGGGCACTGGCCTACATCCCGACCCTGCACTGGCTCCTTGTCTGCTGACCGCTGAGTGGACCCTCCTCCACCTCCGGGGGGCAGGGCGGCCCCCGACACCCACTTCCTGTTAATGCTGCCTTCATGTCCAGCAGGGCTGCCAGCCTTCAGCCCACTCCCCACGCTGCTGCACTGCACTCCTGTCAGACCTCTGGCTGGTGGCTGGTTTATCAAAACCCATCACCATTGCTTCTAGCACCCGGGCTGCACCCCTGGTGGACAAGGTGTGCTCATCCCAGTGGGAAAGGGCACTGAGGCATGGTCTGGCTGGACTCTGAAGGGCCCACACCCAGGCTCTCCCTGGGGACCTCCCCAGATCAGGGACCACTGTGCCCTAGCATATGCTGCCCAGCCTCGCCATTCCAGGGGCCACATCACCGTGCTTTCCTCTGACCAGGGGGCCTCAGCACCACAAAGACCAGGACTGACTGGCTCCTGGTGTCCTGCTGTCCCCAACGTTCTCCAGCACGCATGTCTCCCATGGGCTTCCTTCTAAATATTCCTCCCTTTCTGGAAACGAACTCCAAGGAAGCAAGCCCTGAGTACCCACCGGGGATCCATCTGGGGTCGGAAGGCGAGCCTTAGCTCCTCTAGGGAGGCACACTGTGTGGTCAGTGCAGCCAGGAACTCGTCCGGGTCCGGAGACTCTGGCCCAGCTGGGAAGGAGCTCAGCAAGTAGAAGGAGTTTGTGAAGTCAGCACCTAGAACAGGCAGCTGCTCAGGGCACCGTCCTGTCAACAGGTGACCACACCCATCCATCCAATACACATGTGTGGGCCGGGACTCCTGACTCCCCTCCAGCCTCTCCAGCCCCACCCAGGGTGGCCACCACTCTGAACCAGGCAAGTCACTCAGTTTCTCGAGGCTTCCAAGCCCCCGTGTCTTCCTCTGTCAAATGAGTAAACAGCGAGGGGGCCCCGAGGTTGGCATCACAGCTGCAGGGCCGAGAAACGCCCGGCACCGGGCGCAACGCTCGGCAGGCGTGTGAGGTCCTCAGCCTGACCTGTCAAAGCGCCGTCACCATGGGCCCTAGGAAAACACCCCAAAGCAGACCCAACAGCAGAAGGGAATCGGTGGTGTACAGAAGAATCACCTAAGCAGGAGAGCCGTAACAGAAGACAAGGGCAAGACAGAGAAAGCAGAGCCCAGCGGGAGTCCCTCCTTGTCGGTAATTACCTCAAAAGGAAACGGATTAGTGTCTCCATTCAAAGAGCAGAAACTGGCAGGATGGATAAAAAACATTATCCAGCTACAGTAAGATACTCACTTTAAAGAAGTTGAAAGACACAAATAACTAAAAGGAACAAAAGTGGGGGCATCACAACTGATCATACAGAAATAAGACTAAGAAAACACTATGAACAGTAACCTAGGTAACAATGAGTCAGATCATTTATGGGACAGATTCCTCAAAACATAAGTTACCAAAATTGACTCGAAACAAAATCTAAAGTGTCCTATAACAAATAATGAGATTGAATCAACAATGAAAAACTTCCCTTATAAACAGAAATGAAAAACCTCAACAAAATATTTAAAGGACCAAGTGGGCTTTATCCCCAGAATGCCAGTTTGTGAACTGGATGTTTCTGTGTCCCCTCCGCCCAAACTGACACCTTAAAACCCAAACCCCTAGTGGGATGGTTTCTGGAGATGGGGCCTGCGGGAGGTAGGTCAGGAGGGTGGAGCCCCCACGATGGACTTTGTGCCCTTCTAAGAGGGGGCAGAGAGAGCTTCCCCGACCCCGCACTCTGCCATGTGAAGACAGAGCCCGAGACGGTCTCCACCAGTGGCCCCACCTTGCCAGTGCCCTGACCCTGGATGTCCAGCCTCCAGGTTGTGAGATGGACTTTCAATCAACTAAGACAGAGTGTGAATGAAGGAACAGAACTGTAATCATCTCACTGAGGCAAAGCGGTGAGAACACTCAACTGGGGAGAGAAGGAAGCCTCCCCAGCTTGGTAAGAGCCTTGTATCACCAGGCCCACGGCTCGCCTCACAGCCAGGTTCACAGGATGGAGACTCGAGGTCATCGGGCTGCGGGGGGTAGTCGGTGCTTCACGGGTACAGCGTTGATGGGGGCACAACAGTGTGTGCACGGGGGTGGTGAAGGCCCAGTCTCGTGTCTCCTGTGCCTGCCCACGCTCACCTGTCAGGTGCATGGTCTCCAGGAGCTTGGCTACCAAAGCGCCGTCCTCCGCCAGCTCCATCCTCACGAGGCCCAGCTTCCTGCGCATCTTCTGCAGGTAGTGTGTGCGGAACTCAGTGTCGAACTCCTCCGCCAGGATGGCCTTGCCCAGCTCCAGGGGCAGCTCAGGGTCCAGGGCCTCAGCCAGCTTCTGCAGGTTCCACTTGCACACCTCGGGCTGCTTGCTGTATGAATAGCGCCCAGCAGTGTCGGAGGCGTTGCACACGTGGTCGGGGTCGTACCTGCCACATGGGTGAGAGCCGGGTGCGCTCGAGGGCCCCACCGAGGGGCTGTGCAGACCTGGGTGCCCAAAGGCAGGGCCTGGGTGGCCACCACTTAGCTGCCCACTCCCGCAGGGAGTCTGGTTGGGCTGGCCCAACTCAAGGACCCTGCAGCTGTCTGTCCCTTCCCACACATGTGATCAATTTCCACCTACAGAGCAGGGAAGCCACACTTCAGGCAGCCTGTCCCCTCACCTCCTGGCTCCTCCCCTGCCTTTCAGTGCACTATCAGCCTGGGAGAGGGGCGCTTTCTAAAATATTCTCTGCTCAAAATCCTCCAGGGCATCCCTGCTAGCTGGCTGAGAATTAAACAGGAACAGATTGTTCGCAGAAGCAGCCACACACGCCTGCAGGTCGTTCCTGAGGCCCGGGCGGGGACCTCACCTGTCGAGGAAGCCGAAGGGCCCGTAGTCAATGGTGAGCCCCACCACGCTCATGTTGTCCGTGTTGAGCACGCCGTGGCAGAAGCCCACGCACTGCCACTCGGCCACCAGCCGGGCCGTGCGCCGTGTCACCTGCAACAGGAGGCACTGCTGCCCCGCTGTGCCCCAGCCCACCCCTTCCTGAACTGGCGGTGCCCCCATGCCCGTCTGGCTCCGCGTGATGCCCCAGGGGCCCCACCCAGTGTCCTGTCAGCTCAGCCAATGCTCAGCCAGGGGAGGACACCCAAGAATATTTCAGAAGGAAAAAGTTATTTTGGATGAGTTGGAATTTGTGGCTCCAACCCCTCCACCCCTGCCACCACACTTCTCTTTAGCATACTTGCTATTTTGGCTTTTTACTCAGACCAGAAACACCAGGGAACCTTGACACCCTCAGAAGCAGGACCAGTGGATGACCATGTGGAAACAAGGAGGGCAGCTACCACATTGTCAGGCAGACCTGCCCCAGGTACAGGCCACGGTGCCCACGGGCCTACCTCGCCCTGGGCTGGACCGCAGAAAGGAGGCTCGACTGACCCACCTGCCTAGGCCAGGGTCCAGCTGCCGCCCCCCAACCCCTGCCAGGCACAGTGCCCCATACAGCCTCGGGCAGGTGCCCATGCAGGGGAGCAGGACACAGGGCTGCATGCACGTGCCTCATCCCCGGGGTCGGGCAGCACCACTCTCGGCTTCAATGACGAAGAGACCCAAGTTCAGAGTGGGGTCCCGGACCGCCCACCCTGGGTGTGAGCTGAGCCCCAGGACTCCCCTGGCATCATGACAGAAAGAAACAGTGCAGCTGAAGTGGGCTTGGGGGTGACTGGTGCAGGATGGGACCCCATAGCCACCTGCTTGGCAACCACTTCGGTGCTGACCCCTCACCCTGCCCTCTCCTCTGCCTCCACAAGGCCTGGCCTCTTGCACCGCCTACACTCCGACCGACAGGTGGGGGGCCCTGCCTGAGAGTTCTGGGGATGGACTCTGCCTCGGGCTAGGAAAGTCCCGTGTCTCCCCCGAATGGAGAGGCTGGGCTGGCCTGGCCAGGCTGTGTGGTTGGGGGCACTGTGTGCACAGGCCTCCCTTGGGAGGGGCCTGGCATCCACCAGCACCCACTCCCACCTGAGCCGAGTGCCCCCCAGGGCTGTGTGGCACACAGGCCCCATGGACGCCACTCAAACAGTGACCTATGAGTGCGTCCCAGGACTCCTGACCCTCAGTGGTGTTTGTGAGAGGCTGGCCCTGGTCCGCACCCACCTCCCGGAAGAAGGCCACATGCCTCTGCACACGGTCGCCAGCGTGAGCAGCCTGGATCTCGGGGTAGAAAGTGCCGATGACGTAGTCCAGCATCTGCGCCCGGATGTCGTTCCTGCCTACGCTGGGGCCCGCCCGCCCCGTGTGCTCATCCGCAGGCTTGAAGATCTCAAAGGACCCAAACCTGGAGGGAAGACACATGTCCTCACTGCTTAAACATGCTGCCTACCCCCACGCAAAGGAAGAGGGCCACGTGCAGCCCTGTGGCCAGAGTAGGATGGATACCCAATTAAAACAAACCACGTGATGTGGCCAGTTTCTCAGTGACAGATACACGGGGCACTTCCTCGGCCCCCCACGGCCACCTTACAAGAAGGGAGGGGCTCCTGTCTGTCCCCTCCACACCACAGGACACGCCGGTCACCATGTCCTGTGAGATGACCGGCGGGTTGGCAGGACTCCAGACATTGCCTGTGAGTGGTCAGCAGTGGTCCTCCGCTGGGTAATCAGCCCCCGGGGACGGGCAAGGTCCAGAGACATCTGCTTGTCACAACTGGGGACCCAGAACGAGGCTGTCCTCTCAGTGCTGTTCACACAGCTCCTTGTTAGGCACCCAAGTGAACCCCCAGAACCCACCCTGGGCTCCAGGCCCAGGCCTCCCCGCCCCCACGCCCCGGAGGACCCTCCTGCGGTACCTGAGGAAGGTGGGGGCCACGCGCAGCACCACGGCACATGGCTCAGCACGCGGGTTGCCATCGTAGAACACGTCCCGCAGGACGGTGGACTGGGAGGTGACACAGGCCCCGGCCCGCGTGGTCGGCACTCCCAGGTGGAACATGGCCTCGCTACACAGGAACTCCCGGATGCTGGAGCGCAGCACTTTGCGGCCGTCAGCCTGTCTGGGGTCAAACACAGAGGTCACTGCTGCTCAGCACCCCACCCAGGGAGGGGCCAGGAGAAGGGGAGCACCCAGGCTTGTTAAAAACCATCCATGAGCAGTTCTAACGCCGCTGGAGAGCGCCTGTTTTTTCTAAAATTGAAGGACAGTCAGTTTACAATGTTGTGCTAACTGCCAGTGAACAGCAGAGCAATTCAGTTACACATACACAGACTCCTTTACATACTTTCATTATAGATTACTACGTGACATTGAATATAGTTCCCTGTGCTCTACAGTGGGGCCTTGTTTATTTTACATATAGTAGTTCCTATCTGCTAACCCCAAACTCCTAATTTATCCCTCCACACCCCTCTTCCCCTGCCCCATAACCATAAGTCTGTTTCCCACGTCTGTGAGTCCGTTCTGTAAATAAGTTCATTTGTGTCATTTTTTTAGATCCCACATGAATGACATATGCTATTTTTCTTTTTCTGGCTTACTTCACTTAGTATGAAAATCTCTAGGCCCATCCATGTTGGTGCAAATGGCATTATTTTACCAGTTTTTATGGCTTAGTCATCCAGCTTCTTTATCTGTTGATGGACATTTAGGTACTTCCACGCCTTGGCTCTTGTAAACAGTGCTGCTGTGAACATTAGGGTGCATGTGGTGTTTTGAATTAGAGTTCCCTCTGGATATATGCCCAGGAGTGGGATTGCTGGATCATATGGTAAGTCTATTTTTAGTTTTTTGAGGAATCTCCATACTGTTTTCCACAGTGGCTGCACCAAACTGCATTCCCACCAGCAGTGCAGGAGGGTTCCCTTTTCTCCACAGCCTCTCCAGCATTTGTCATTTGTGGGCTTTTGAATGATGGCCATTCTGACTGGTGTGAGGTGGTACCTCACTGCAGTTTTGATTTGCACTGGAGAGTTTTGGACAATAGCAGACATTGAGCCCCTAAGTCATCCAGGTCTGGAGCCACAGCACCAGTGTCTGGCCTGCGGCTGGGGACCAAGTTGGCACCAAGGATAGGGAGAGCTACATAGGCCTCCCGAGAGGGCCTGGCCCACTCCCAGTGTTACACACACACACTCAGAAATCTGCAGTTCTGTTTTTGTGGATTTACTTTATGAAAACGCTCTTACAACAACAGACAGCATTATCTGCAGTGGGAGGAGGACCTCAGACTACCTCAGGCAGCTCTGAATGACTTGAATTTTTTCTTTTCCTGCTAAACCTCCATTATGTTTTTTAATAGGCTCTATTTTTCTGAGCAGTTTTAGGTTCACAGCAAAAGTAATCAGAAGGCATAGGGATGTCTCATACCCCCCCCCAGCATCAACACCGCTGCCAGGTGGGACACTTGTTAACAATCAGTGAACCTACACCGACACGTCAGCATCACCCAGACTCTGCCGTTCACACTTGGTTCACGCTTGGTGCTGTACCTTCGATGGGCAAACCCACAGGACACCCGTGCAGTGACGTGTCCACCATGACAGCATCACACAGAGTAGTCTCACTGCCCCCAAAGCCTCCGTGCTCTGCCCACTCATCTCCCCCCAACCCTTGATCTTTCTACTGTCTCCATAGTTTTGCCTTTTCCAGAAGGTCACAGTTGGAATCATACCGTGTGTGACCTTTTCAGATTTTCATCCTTCACTTACTAACATGCATCTAAGTTTCCTCCACGTCTTTTCATGGCTTGATAGCTCATTTCTTTTTAATGCTGAATAACATCCCATTATCTGCATGGACAGGAGTTTATCTATCTATTCACCTTAAAGCATATCTTAGTGGCTTCCAAGTTTTGGTAATTATGAATAAAGCTGCTGTGAACATTTGGATGCAGGTTTCTGAGTGGACATGTTCTCAGCTCCTCTGGGTAAATACCGAGGAGCATAACTGCTAAATCACATGGTGAGACCATGTTCTGTAAGAAGCTACCATACTGTCTTCCAAAGCGGCTGCACCGCTGTGTATCCCCAGCAGCAGTGGTGAGAGTTCCCGTAGCTCCACATCCTTGCCAGCATTTGGTGGTATCAGTGTTCTGGATCTTGGCCCTTCTATTAGGTGTGTAGTGGAGTCTCCTTGTTGTTCTAATTTGCATTTTCCTGATGACATATGATATAAAACATCTTTTCCTATGCTTATATGCCATCCATGTATCTTCTTTGGTGAGGCATCCAACAAGGTCTTTGCCCCATTTTAAAATCAGTTTATTTTCTTACTGTTGAGTTTTAAGACTTCTTTGTATATTTTAGATACCAGTCCTTTACCAGATGTGTCTTTTGTAACGATTTTCTCCCAGTCTGTGGCTTGTCTGCTCACTCTCCTGACTGTCCTGCACAGAAGTTTTAACTTTAATAAAGTTCAGCCCATCTGTTATTTCTTTCATGGATCCTGTCTTTGGTGTTGTGTTTAAAAAGTCATCTCTGTACCCAAGATCATCCAGATTTTCTGTTTTATCTTCTTGGAGTTTTATAGTTTTGCATTTTGTTTAGGTCTGTGATCCATTTTAGGTTCATTTTTGTGAAAGATGTAAATAAGGTCTGTGTCTAGATTCATTCTTTTTGCATGTTGATGTCCAGCTGTTCCAGTACAATCTGTTGAAAAATTATCTTTGCTCCACTGTATCACCTTTGCTTCTTTGTCAAAGGTCCACTGACGAAGGTCTATATATTCACATGGGCTTTCTGTTCTGTTCCATTGATCGTCTGCTCTTTGGCCGCACCGTCTTGTCTACTGTTGTCTTATAGTAAGTCTTAAAGTTGGGAGGGATCAGTCCTCAGACTTTGTTCTTCTCCTTCAATAGTGTGTGGGCTCTTCTGGGTCTTTTGCCTTTTGATATGAATTTTAGAATTAGTTTGTCAATACCTACAAAATAACTTGCTGAGCCTTTGACTGGGATTGCACTGACTCTATAATTGAGTTGGGAAAACTGACATCTTGACCATATTGATTCTTCCTATCCATGAACATGGAATATCTTTACACAGATGTAGTTCTTCTTTGATATCTTTTATCAGAATTCTGTAGTTTTTTTTCAGAGGTCTTATAGATATTTTGTTAGATTTAAACCTTATTATCTCGTTTTTAAGACTGCTAACATAAATAGTATTGTTTTTAATTTCAAAGTACACTTGTTAATTGCTGGGATATAGCAAAGTGATTGACTTATACAGTAACTATATCCTGCAACCTTGCTATAACTGCTTATGAGCTCATTTTTTGGCTAGTTCTTTGAGAGTTTTCTACACAGATGTTCATCTGTAAACAAAGACAGATTTAACTTCTTCCATCTCAATCTGGACACCTTCAGTTTTCTTTTCTTGTCTTGTTGCATTAGCTAGGACCTCCAGGGATGCTGAAAAGCAATGACAGGGGACATCTTTGCCTTATTTCTGATCTTAGTGGGAGAGCTTTGAAGTTCTCATGATTAAGTAGATGTCAGCTATACGTTTTCCACAGATACTCTTTAGCAATGAGGAAGTTCCTCTCTATGCCCAACTTACTGGGTTTTCATCATGAATAGGTATCGGATGTTTTTTCCAGATCAACTGATATGATCATGTGATTTTTCTTCTTTAGCCTGCTAATCTGAGGGATTACAGTAATTGACCTTTGAGTGTTGAACCAGCCTTGCATCCCTGGAATACATCCCATTTGGTTGTGATGTATAATTCTTTTCTTACACTGTTGGATTTGATATGGTAATATTTTGTTGAGGATTTCTTTACCCATATTCACAAGAGATTCTGGTCCCACCTAGCAGACAAACACAACAACAAAACGAGTCTGGATCTGTGCAGTGGAAGTCGGGCCCGGCCCAGGGCACAGCAGTGTCTCAGCACCCTCCCAGGCAGGAAGGCACTTGAAAAAATTTAGAAAGTTCTCCAGGAAAGAACAAAACATGTGGGAAAACAATGGGCACACTGCCATCTCACCTGCAGAAGGACACTGAGGCCGAGTGAAGGCACCTGGGGTATATCTGCTGCCTACATCCTCTGTTGATACTGGGCCCAGTGTGAGCTTGGGGTGCTGTGGCTAGGGAGGCCAGGAGTCAGTAGAGACCTCTGCAGGGGCACACCTTGGCCTCTTGCCTTGCCCTCAGCCAGGAGCCTGACCTCGCCCTCACCCCGGGGACCCCTGCTGGGCGACTGCACCCACCTCTGGCTGCCTCAGGTCACAGCTGCATTCCACTCACCGCCTTCTGGTCTGTAACCCTTCCTCAAGTGTCACTCCAGCCCCACCCTGACCTGGGAATTACCTCTCAGCCCAGCTAGGTTTCATGTTTTCCCGTAGGAAGCCAGCACAGCCCAAGCTAATCTTGAACTGGTAAAAAATGATCCTGAAAACAAGCAGCCTATCTTCTTGCCCAGGGCAAGGTGCCCAAAGCAGAAACCAGAACTGAATAATGATTACACAGCAAGGGTCAAGGGCGTGGGGCAGCCCTGCCCCCACAGAACCCAAAGGACACACGACTGTGGTCCCTTCTCCTGGGCGCTCAGGTCTGTTCCCAGCCAAACTGCTGGGATGGACTCAGCTAAGGACAAGCTCTTCTGCATCTGCCAAGAGAGGCCATCCTAAAATCCCAACCCCCATGGCAGGCAGAGGCAAGACGCCCCCTGCCCGACTCCCAAAACCTACACCTGGGGACTCCAGCAGCAGTTGGCCTTAAGCCACTCACAGCCACTTCGGGTGTAAGCCTCAAGTCAGGAAACGTTGGGGGTGGTGGGTGGGCGCAAACCTGATAAAGGCCAAACAGCCCCTTTCTTTTAAAGGACCTCAGCTCTGGAAACACTGACTTAAAACTCAACTCTTCAAATATAAAAAGCAACTTCTGACAGCACATTACTCTCACAGATGTTTTTCATAATGGGCAAAAACAAATTATCAAAATGAGCACACAAAGTTTAAAGATGCTCATACAACAGACAAGCCCCAGGGTGAGAAGCATTTACAAATCATCTCAAGGGGTGGAAGGTCCAACCACTGGTGCAGGGGGCGCCAGGCTGAACTCAGGAAATCTCAGAGACTGAAAGGTTTGAAGACTGGTGAATGAAGAAGAACCAGTTACCCTGAGGATTGGAGGTGGAGGTGCTGGAGGTAGGGGTGGGGGACAGGTTCAGCCCCTGGAGAGAGGGTAGGTGAGAGCACGTGGAAGGGGCCAGAGAAGACACATGCCCTTGAGACTTCGTTGAACACAAAATGCTAACTTAGGTGTAATTCTTTCAGCTATTCAACAAGCATCTAACAAATACGGGCCAAATATATGAAAAGACCAAAACAGCCTGTCGGCACGGTGTGTTCAGGAGGCAGGACAGCTGTGGGCAGGGTGTCCTGCTGGGTCATGCTGTAGGGATCTGGACCCAGGCCCTGGACGGGCAGCTGACACTGCCCACTTTGCTGCAGAGTCAGAACAGGGCTGGCCCCCAAGTGCGTGGAAGCCCATGACTGGGAGAATGTCCACTGGGACAGCAGACCTGTCCTTGTCCAGAGCACTGGCCGCACGACAGACAGCAAGGAAGGCACACCGATGCTAAGTGTGTTGGAGGGAAAGAGACTGCCCACTAGCATTCAGAGGAAGCCCGGTGCCGCCTGAGCACTGGCAGCTGGCTGGGCACGCGGTAAACATGAGTGTTACCCGGAGGACTGACTCCAAAGTCCTTGGACGATTTCTGAGAACAGCTTGCGCAGCTGCCAGTGCTGTGGGGTCAGATGCTCAGCCTGACAGGAGAGGCAGCAGGGTCCCTCCACCGAACGGGTCAGAGGGGGCAGGGGCACGAGGAGGAAGCCAGGGAGCCAGAGCACCTCCCTCCTGTCTTGTCCTGGACTCAAGGCCTGCGCACAAGCTGCTCCTTCGGCTAGGACACTGCTACCCATCCTGTTCTACATCCCTAGCTAGGACTTTTCTGTAGTGACATCTCACCCCCAGCCACCCCACCGGGAAGGACAGCTCCGTGGGCATGGGTACACCCTCTCAAACACACCTGGAGAAGAG